CCTTCCTTCCTTCCTTCCTTCCTTCCTTCCTTCCTTCCTTCCTTCCTTCCTTCCTTCCTCTATTTTTTTCTAGTAACTCTAGCTCTTGATTTATTTAAAGAAACTTATTAAAATACCCTGGTACTGTTAGCGTTTCCTATGTAATGCTAAGATATTAGAACATGTTAACTCTACCTCATCTCCTGTTTTTGCTATCATGCTTTATTTTTCTATGCGTATTTTAAAAGGCATCTTGTTACTGTTTGCGTGGTAATTATTCATTTAGATTTACCCATCTATTGACATTTCTGTGTCTCTTCATTTTTTCTTATTTTATATAGGAAATATATGTCTTATATGGAAGCATTTTCATTCTGATTGAATAACTCCTTTTATCATTTCTTTTAGTATTTGTATGCTGGAAAAATATGCTTTTTTGGGGAAAATATCTTTATATTACTTTTATTTCATTATTTTTAATCATTTTTATTTATCTGGTAGTACATGCACATGGTACAGATTTAAGAACTTCATAGCATTTACAGTGAAAAGTAAACCTTACTACACATTCCCAAGTGAGTTAGCTGCCTTCCCCAGAGGCAACCACTGTTACCAGTTTCTTGTGAAAGCTGAAATTACTCTATGCACCAACCAACATTTGCAATACCTATCCAGTCACGCAACCATCTATCTATCTACCTATCTAATCATCTGTATACCTATTTTCATCATCATCTATCTACATACAAATGGTAGAATACTATGCACATTGCTTTTTAATTATTTTTAATTTTAAATCAATTTTACTGTGATAATTTACATTAAATGGCATTTTAAGAAAATATACACTCTGTATGTTCACAGCCATAATCAAGATACTAAACATTTCCATCATCTACAAAATTGCTCTCGTTCCTTTTCTAAATCAATCCGTCCTAACTACCCATCCCTGACTCCAAGTAACTGTGAGATGTTTTTATCACTAAAGAATAGATATATATTTTCTAGAGTTTAGCATAAATGCAATTATGCCAGTGTCTTAAGGTGGAGAGTTAGAGTGTTGATTTGAGATCTGTCTTCTATTTTATTTAATAAAAGCATTCATAGCTATAAATTTCCGTTTAAGCACTGCTTCAGCTGCATTCCATAAGTTCTGGTGTGTTGTATGTCAATCTTCATTTACCTCAAAGTATTTTCTATTTTGTCTTGTATATTTTTCCTTGACACATTGGTTGTCTACTATCGTGTGGTTTAACTTCTATATATTTGTGGATTTCCCAAAGTTATTTTTGTTATTAATTTCTAATTTCATTCTGTGTGGTTGGGGAATATACTTTGTATAATTTCAATCCTTTTAAATTTATTAAAGCTTTATAGCCTAGAATATGATCTATCGTGGAAAATATTACATGTGTGCTTTAAAAAAGTGTGTATTTTTCTGGGAGGAGAGTTCTATAGATGTATGCTAGATCTAGCTTATGGTTTAGTGGTGCTCAGATTTTCTAGTACCTTGTTGATCTTCTGCCTAGTTGTTCTATTCATTATTAAAAGTGGGTATTGAAATCTCCAACTATTATTCTTGAATTGCCTATTTTTTCTCATCAGTTCCATCATATTAGCTACATGCATTTTGGAGCTCTCTTGTTAGGTGCATTTGTGTTTATAATTGTCATAACTTCCTGGTGGATTGACCATGTTATCATTATAAAATGTCCCACTTTATATGTGGTAACACTTTTTCTAAGTCTAGTTTTTCTGATATTAGGATAGCTGCTCCAGTTTTCTTAAGGTTGCATTTTTTTCTTATATCCTTTTCTATTCTTTTACTTTCAATATTCTTATATAGTCAAATCTAATGTGTATCTACTATAGACAGCATATAGTTGGATCTTATTTTTTGTCTATTCTGACAATCTCAACATCACGAATTATTAGAGAAATGCAAGTCAAAACTACAATGAGGTATCACCTCACACCAGTCAGAATGGCCATCATTAGACAAATGCTGGAGAGGGTGCAGGGCAAAGGGAACCCTCCTACATTGTTGGTGGTAACGTAAATTGGTACAGTCACTGTGGAGAACATTATGGAGGTTCCTCAGAAAACTAAAAATAGAGTTACCATATGATCCAGCAATCCCACTTCTGGGCACATATCTGGAGAAAACTCTAATTTGAAAAAAATGAATGTACCCCAATGTTCATTGCAGCACCATTTACAATAGCCAAGACATGGAAGCAACCTAAATGCCCATCAACAGATGAATGGATAAAGAAGATGTGGTATATATGCATACAGTGGAATACTCCTCAGCCAAAAAAAAGAATGAAATAATGCTGTTTGCAGCAACATGGATGTACCTAGAGATTATCATACTAAGTTAAATAAGTCAGACAGAGAAAGGCAAATAACATATGGTATCACTTATATGTGGAATCTAAAATATGATATAAATGAACTTATTTATGAAACAGATACAGACTCACAGACATAGAAAACAAACTTATGGTTACCAAAGGGGAAAGGGGGTGGGAAGCAACAAATTAGTAGGAGTTTTGGATTAGCAGATACAAACTACTGTATATAAAATAGATAAACAACAAGGTCCGACTGTATAGCATAGGGAACTCTATTCAATATCCTGTAATAAACCATAATGGAAAAGAATATAAAATATATATATATGTATGTATATATATATATACACACACATATACATGTAGCATATGTATGTATACATATATATGTATATAACTGAATCACTTTGCTGTACACTAGAAACTAACACAACACTGTAAATCAACTTTATTTCAATAAAAAGATAAAAAAATGTATTCATATTTTCAAGTTTTTTACATTAGAAGTTTTGGTCTCTTACAAATTTTTATCATAGGCAAAAATAAAGTTTGTTTTATTTGATGCACTTAAAGCCTAAGTCTGATAAGCTAACTACCAAAATGAAAGACATGAATGTCAAAGAAATTAACAACAGTAAACCTAAAAGTATTTTTTAAATGACTCAATAATGGCTGATCTAGTTTTTCTAAATAGTAAGTAAAGCTCAAGGAAATTGAGAACTGTAATTTTCTGTTATACAAATAACTCTTTTCTCTTCCCACTCCCCACAACCCCAAACTCAATCATTCTTAGGGTCTCTATGGCAGAAACAGTTGGTGGAGTGAACACTTGAATGAATGAAGAAGGAAATGTCTCTGCCTACTGTTTTGGGATAAAAACCTGTCTACATCATCCTGACAGACTTCAGGTCCTTTTATCTTTAAACTGAAATGTTAAAATACAGATGAAGTTCATTATCATATATAAATAACAAATCTTCCTGACAAAGAAAAAATAAGGAGACTGAATAAGAGCTTAAAATTTAAAGATACTATGGAAACCAGCCCATCACAGTTTTATACTCTGTTTCAACCACTCTCATCCAGCACTTCCTTTAAAACTTAAATAAAGGTGTGTAAAAGAAATTATTTATTTTGATATGACTGGCGTTTTACGCAGTCGTTGAACGTATTCAAAGACTTTATCCATTATTAGGGGTTGAGTGTTCAGTTCTATTTAGAAGGAAGAAAACAACACAGTCACAATCAAAGGACCCAATCAGCATAAATTTAACTTAAAGAGTAGTTTGCCTTTTTATAACATGAGGTTAGCCAGCACATCAGTTTCTATATTATAATTAAGAATAATAAGGATTTCCTGATCCTAAATTCTACTTTTCTCTGATCATCTCTAACTTAACTTGCAATTTAAAACAATCACACACTAAAGGAGTTGGTGTCTCTATTGACTTGCTAATCAATTGTTTATTTGTTTTACAAATCCATTCTTTTTCTAAAACTGACCTAATTTTCAGTCTTGATTAAACTGAGAACCAAATTAGAGGGTTTGTTTTCTTCTTCACTCCTCTACATTACATTGGTTTAGAGGTGAACAAAAATATACACAGAATCCGTATGCCTTTGGGTGAGATTCCCTTGCCAGGTTTAAGTATTTGTTGAAACAAAATCTGTTTAAAATATGTCATACTTGTCCATTATTCTTATTTTAAAATGTGTAATGGAAAGGGCTTAATTGATGCAAGTAAAATCATCATAGCTAATATTTACTCAGTGCTTATTATTTTCACTGTATTAATGTGCTTTGTGTACCTTATCTCCTTTAACTCTTACACCAACCCAATGAAGTAAGTATTGTTGTTATCTCTGTGTCACAGACAGGATAGAAAACTGGCCTAGAGAGGTTAGAGAAGTTGCCTAAAGTCATGCAACTTTTAAATGAGTAAATCAGAGTTCATCTTCACATAATTTGACTTCAGAGCTAGTGTGTATAAGCAGCCCCTAATTCTACTTCCCTTCTTTCTTTAAAATGTAAAAATTATTTTTTGCAACTCATTGTTGAAGGAGTAATGAGATACAGGTGCCCTCTAAAATATGTGATTTATGCATTTTATCAGCATTAAACAAAATTACAGTTTCTCCTGTTCACTTTTTAATTGCTTAGTGTAATAAGAAATTATTATTAAATCCATACGAAACAAAACCTGGTAAATTGAAAATCTAGTTGATTTTTCCAAATTATTATATACGATGTTAGAAACTAAAGTATTAGTCTAGTTGAGACAGTAAGATGATCAAGGAAGCAACCATCTGCTAATTGATCTATTTGTTTTGTCTTCTGTAGAAAAATGAATCAAATTGACCATGGAAAAGGTAAATCAGCTGTACCATAGCATTTGATCTAATTTGCAGCCTCAGAAACTGACCCTTATCTGTGGAGGGGAGAAAAACGTTTTCCCTTGTTCCCTTTTAGGTTTTTTAACTGGTCTAATAATTAAACTGGCATAAGGCAGATTAACAGGAGAAAACAGTTAATTTTATACATACGAGTACCCAAAGGTATGAGACTCTCATATAGTCAGGTATTTGAGGCTTATCTGCCATCCTGAGCTAAGGAAAAGGAGATATGGGTCTGCGACTTAAAGGGGAGGCAGACGATTTATAGGCAGATGGGAAGAGCAGCTGTTTGGTAAACAGATGTTTGCCATGTCATGCAGATAAATTTGTGTTGTAAAATGTTGTCTCTGGTATTAGCCCTCTTCCTTGGTACACACCCTCTATCTAAATTATTTTAGGCAGTTTAGGGAGAGGTTAGAAAAGAAAAATCTTTCTGCCTCTCTTAGGCCTTAGTTACCTTCAGCTAAAATAATCCACATGCCAAAGTGGAATATTTGGGGGTCACATATTCTGCTCCCCCCTCACCTGTAAATCATAGAAGGCTCCAAATTATAGTAAGAAAAATATATTTGGATTCCAAATAAGCTGCCTAATTTTGTAGGTATCTGTATATAAAACTGCTTCTGCAACAACTTCTCTCCTTCTGCCCTTTAAACTTGGTATCCAAAATTGCTACCTGAACTGTGAATTCCTTTAGATTTCAATAAGAATGCTTGATCGCAAGTACTTGCTTATCTCCATAAAATCTGAGGTTGAAGCAGCAATAATGTTAATCATCTATATTTGCATCTAGATGAGGCAGTATATAAGGCCAATTTTGAAAAGCAGGAATTATTTTTTTGATTGCCTCCTCCAAATTATTAAGCTTTTACTCTTTGGAACTACCACTGTAACACTGTATACAATTAATATTTTCTGGTCTTTTAATCCAGTAAAATCTAGCTATCGGGTGCCCTCATTTTCTCAAACATTTTATCTTTACTAAATAACAGCTAAATAGATATTCTGAATTGTCAATGCCTTGTTAGATAAGTGTTCACCAATTACCATAGTTAATGTATTTAAATATTATGGAGTAAACTATCACTTCTAAAGCAGATACTATGTGCCAAATATTCTTATAAGTATTTTACATATAGTATGTCTACTCCTCACTACAAACCTGTGATAAAGCTATTATCATCCTTATTACAATATGGAAATTTGCCCTCAGAAGGGTTCATTCACTGCCCTATGGCCACATGTTTACTCCAAGTCCCAAGTCGTATGAAGAGGATTTGGATTTACATTTACATTTACATTACATTTACATTTACATTTACATTTAATTTTTTAAATGGATGCTTTTTCCATGATTCCAGAATTCCTGGGACTCGAAGATATAACTGTTGTCACAGTCATTTAGTTACTCAGAGACAGTGGATTTAAGAAGCAGATTAGAAGTCCCAGTCTCAAATATGTCAACATATTTGAGAAAATAGCCCAGTCAAGCTAGCTGACTGGTTTGAAACTTTGTTCCCTCTTTATGTCAAGCAGTGAACAGCAGATATACTTGCCCTGGAATGAGAGAATTAGGAAAAATTCTCTGCATCCAGAAGGCCAACTGGTATCAATATTACTAGTGGTTAAGGACTTGGGGGCCTTCAGACTACTAGCACATTCTATTTGACAGCAGTCCTATGGCTCATTCATATTCACTGAAAGCAATTCATAGTAAATAGAAATAGTACATCAAAACAGGTGAATATCGAATCCCAAATGAAAATATAACAGATAACTAAACAACGACAAGCATTTGAAAATCGATATCAAAGACAAGCAACAAAATTGAAAA